ACTCATTAGAGGAGAGAGGGGAGTGGCATTCCTATGGGGTCAGCTCTGGCCAGAAACTAACCCCAGGAGGGGGGAATGTGGGAGAGCAAATGTTTATGTATAGTGCACACTCCATACAGACCTTCAATGATTCAATGAGTTCCACCCACATTAGAGAGGTCAGTCTGCTTTACTCAGTCTACCAACTTAAATGTTAAACCCATTCAAAAGTACCCTCTCATGCATACCCAGAATAATATTTGACCGAATATTTGGGTGCCCCATGGCCCAGTTAAGATCACACACAAAAATGTTTTAATTGGCTAGTAAAAATGAGATCTATTCATGTTGTACAATATATTTTTTGATATACATATATATTGTAGAATGTATGCATTAGCAAAACTAAGCTTTTTAACATATGTATTACCTCACATGCTTATCTTTGTGTGTGTGGGGTGGGGTGGGTATGTGGTAAGAACACTTAAAATTCACTCTTTCTTAGCACTTTTTAAGTATGCAACATATTATTAACTGTAGTCAATATAAGGTACAGTAGATGTCTTCAACTTCTTCCTACTCTTTAACTGAAATTTTGTGTTCTTTGATCAGTATCTCCCTATTTCCCCATCTCTCAGCTTCTGGAAATCATCATTGTAATATTTCTATGAGTTCCACCTATTTGGATTCCACATTCCAGAGACCTTCAAAAAATTTGTGTAAAAATGAAATTAAGGTGCAGGTTTATTTTGGTATAAAACTCTTCAAAATTGATCCATAGCTTTTTCATAATGTGAATTTTCCATGAGTTTTTAGAAGACCCCTCACATAAATCAGATCATGAAGCATTTGTCTGTCTGTACCAGGCTTGTTTAACTACTGTGGCATCCTTTAGTTTAATCCATGTTGTCCAAATGACAGGATTTCCTTCTTTTTGAAGGCCGAGTAATATTCTTTTTTTTTTTTTTTTTTGAGAGGTTTTTGCTATAGGGCATGTGCACTTGCCAGATAGAGAAAGACAGAGAGACAGCGAGAAATCATCCCTCAGAGGAGATGGCCATGCCGCAATCCTTTCTCCTCCATTCTCCTCTCGGGATCTTGGGCACACACACACACATGCGCCCAGCGTGAGTTTTAAGCCACGGGGTCCGGGACACGAACCGCGGTTGACTACATGGGAGTCCAGTGACATAGCCATTACACTAACTGCTGGTCCTGAGGCCAAGTAATATTCTGTCGTGCATTGTAGCATGTTGACTTTATCCATTCAGTTGTTATAGACACTTAGGTTGATTCTTTGTCTTGGCCTTTGTGAATAATGCTGCAATAAATATGAAAGTATTCTAAAAGGTTCTCCTACAGAGAAGGACTGGGAAAGTGTTTTACTTCTCGTTATGAAAAACAATTTTCAGAGGAAAAAAAAAAAAAAACAGTAATGGAATGGCCCAAGGACAGAAACTTCTGTTTTTCATTTAGTGGATGCTAAGTTCACGTTTTCACTCATTGCTCCTCTATCTTATGTGTTCTACATTGAAAATCCCTTCCTTTTTTGACATATATCCACCATCATTAAGGCAATCGGAAAGATGAGGAAAATCTTTGCAAATAAAAACAGAGGTTTTGGTGCTGGCAAGTAGTATGGTGGTTAAGGCACTGGACTCCCACAAGGCTGACCACAGTTCAAGTCCTGGACTTGGTGGCTTGCTCTCTCACTTTCTCTCTCTCTCTCTTTCTCTCTCTCTCTCTCTCTCTCTCTCTCTCTGATCAAACTTTAAAACTATAATAATTAAATTAAATTAATAATTCCTAAAAAAAATAGTATATGAATCATTTCCCCTGATATTTTCATTTTGGTTGGAAGAGGATATGGCACCCAGAGATGACACCTCCACTTTTATTTTACCCAGAAGAGGATAAACAATAGGCACTAATTATCAAGATGATACATTTTATCTTCTAACAGAGAATATTGCAGGGTTTCTCAGCCTTGGTACCACTGACATTTTTAACTGAGTCATTCTTTGCTATGGGGTGTTGTCCTCTACACTACAAAGTGTGTAACAGTATCCCTGGCCTCTATCCACAGCCCTACCAGCAGCACTCAGCCATTCCCCCAACCATGACAGTCAAATATGCTTCCAGAGTAATAGCTGATTCTGTGACTGGGGACGAAATATGAAGATGAACCTCATACACTTTTTAGTGTCAGAAAAAAGGAAATTATCAAAACATATACACACATCAAATCAATGAAAAGGGTATGTCAACAGAATGCAGGAGCCTACTGAGTTCCCAGTGGCTGAAGGTAGGACAAGTGGAGCAGGAAAATAAATAAAATAATATTGGATCATAACCTGAAGTAATAAAATAAATTTTCACAAGCCTGTGCTGACATAAATCAATGATTGAAGGACCAGCAGTTGGCATGGAGGTTGAGGTACTGACTCCCACCTGGCTGATCACAGGTTCGAGTCCCAGACCTTGCATCTTTCTCTCTCTCTCTCTCTCTCTCTCTCTCTCGCAAATTTTTAAAATAATAATAATAAATTAAATTAAATGAATAATTCTTAAAAATAAATAAATAAATGACTGAGTAATTAAATGAAGATAATGGACAAGCTTCCCATACAGAAGAATTTCAAATGATTTATGTAGATACTTCTCAAAAGAGAACATATGTAGCCCAGAACAGCCCTTCTTCAAGAGGCAGACAGCTCCATGGCTCCTGTGATCTAGCCATTTGGGGAGAAAGGAAGATGTCCCACTGATAACTGGGCCTCCAGCATACTCGCGTGGCGTGTTTGGGAACAAACCGCCCACACACCAGATGACTAGAAATC